ATATATATATATATATATTCGACTCCATAACCTATAGATAGGAAATAAATGTGTATATGGGTAGAGGGGTAGGAGGAGTAGAAAGATGGAGGAAACGCCAATAGGTGCATTTAACCGGAAAAAGAGATACGAAGGATTCGGGTAGAAATAATCAGGCCAGGTAGACAGGCGGGTGGTGAATTACTATTTCAGTTAGTTGATAATAAAACAAACTGGCGCAATGGACTAATAGTGTTTACTTGCTTCGTAGTCTTCAAGTTACAGCAGAATTGCAGAGGTATTTTCAGGAGTTAATATTCACTTGTCCAGTAGTAAAGGGGTAAAGTGGTTTCCATGCAGCCTTTAGCATTTACTTGTGTGAGCAACAATTCCGGATTTCTGAAAACAGGGATAGAAGGTAGAGAAGGTGAAATAAGGATGGGAAAACGAAGCTAAACTATTAAAAATATGCAAAATAGCAGTTGTGTGCATATGAACCAGACGGAAAGTATGGTTATCTCCAAAATATCAGTAATGTGGACCTAGAAATGTAACTGCCTAAAACGATATGGTTGGGAGTCTTCATTCAACCATTAGCTCGCGGTCTGCCTTCCCTGTCGATCTCAGAGTAAGCCGAAACCAGGTCATGCTCGTGAGAGGGCTTCAAATCAAAGTTCAGCCAGTGTTGTTCGAGCTCCGGCGAAGGCAAGAACTTAAAAGACCTTCCCGGTCGAGCAGACCTGTCTCAGATCAAGTGTACTGGGAGGCAGCTAAAGGCGATGACAGAAGCTACAAAGAGGGCCGTGATAGTGAGACCTGAGTGAGTTGAAACTCGGCCACTTTGGCGTGAGTAAGTTCTCCCAGACAGTCGTAGTTTCTCTTAGCACGTTTATTGTGCCCGGTTAGCCCCAGAAGTTACGCATCCAACGTAAGTTTGCCGCATCAGAATACATGTTGGAACTTATGCATACAAGAAAACTTAAAAGTTCATAATGCCCAGCAGAGAAACAGAGAACTTTCAACCTGAAATGAAGCAGGCAAATCACCTCTCAGAGCCGTCTGTAGGCACTTTTTGGATTTGTCATAGTTATTTCCAAGTAGCATGTGTACTTTCAAACATTGCGTGATTGCTAGTTTGTCTTCGTGCAAAATAAAGAACTGACTCATTGTCTCATTTCACTCCGCTATCTCCAGTTCCCATCTTCTGGGAATAAATAGCGGCAAATGCACTCATATACTTCTGCCTATGAAGGACTGTGTTAGATGCAATTAGACAAATCTTGCACTACTCTCTGTCCGTTGCATTCTGGCGGTACCAGTGAGCTAAGTCTTAGCCTCTCTTTAATTAAATGGTATAAGAGTACCCGAAGAATGTAGAGCCTATTCTTGGAGTACAGAAGCAAACCTCCCCCACCTTTGGTATGACAACTTCACCGGGGCTTGCAAAACGGTCCGAATAAATTAATTATTCATTGCCCTGGGCTGATCGGACCGACACCCGGATACTCCTTCTTGCATACATCACACTCCTACATCTTTCAAAAGCCAAACGTCAGAGTTATAACATTATTAGTGTGATGCCTTAATCCTCGAGCCAGCTTCAAACTAGAGCTCATCTTGATGCTTGTCGAAAATCATGAACAGCGTTACTTCGGCAATGGACTGGGTCAGCTGATAAGGTGGATTCATACAAGATCCTTTTTAAAGGTATAATGCCGCAGAAAAAGGGCATTCACCACGTATTTAGGTAAATAATTACCTACATGAGAGCTAAGGTTAGCATTATGAAGAGTTTCAAGAGTTAAGATAGCATAGTTGATAAAACACCTTATTCGCCATACATTTTTGCGTAACTGACACAGCCTTGCTAAAATGTACTGTACAGTGCAGCCATAAACGCCATTACCATATAGGCTTTCCTTCAGTCTCGACCTCGTCTCTTTTCTATCGGCAACTTCGGTATAACTTGAACCGTGAGTGGCAGACAGAAGCATTTCCCATAGCAAAACACATCTGAGAAATAACAGCATTCCATGACACTTATGAGAGGAATAGCCTGATAAGCGTCTAGCTATTTTATGCAGAGTACTGTGTGATGAAAGGACTTTAAGGTCTATCCTACCAGAGGGCGGAGGTGCAGTTTGGCTCTAGTGGAGCATTGTAGTTGACACTGTAGTCGAAGTAATATCGTTTGATTCCAGAGCTCAACAATGGAAACCAAATAGATACTTCGAAACACAAATTTTCAGCGCATCTACTCGTATTCATGGTAATATTATCACTATACTACCACTACTACTACTATGACTACTACTAATACTACTACTAATAGTAATAATAATAATAGTAAAAAATATTATTAAAGTAGTAGTGCATCAGTTAAAAAAACGGAGTGAGGAAAAATACTCAAATTGGATTTTTATGAATAACCATGTATTTACATGGTAAACTTTCTGCTTTAAGTTGAGAGATATTTGCTGCTCTATACCTAGTCTCCGCACGTAAAGCGAAGTGTATCTTCGGAGCAAAGAACCTT